TAAGCTACTGTAATTTTTGTGGAATTTTATGTACACTTTTGCTATGTGTTTATTATTTCACCAAATTATCTAAATAAATTAATAAAGGTATGAAAATATTTTATTTAGGAATGGCCACTATGTTTCCTAGTGCTCATTTGATGTATGTTAACTGTTGGTAACATTGGTAGTACTCAAAGTACTATTCTTATATGCAGTGAAATATTATTTTCACTATAATTCACTTATAATGATTTTCTGGATATAATTTAGAGTTAAGCAAATTACATGGTGAAGATGGTGTTTGCTATGAATCTTATCTATAACAAAGTTGTAGATAACTCACTTATCTAGCTTGTATTAAATTTTCATGGAATTTGGCCAAATAGTTTGTGAGTTATGACTATTCAAAGTTGGTCTTCAGAACTTGTAGTTCTCTGGAATTTCAGGACCAGATTTGATAAATATGCCTGTTTGACCTTGTTAACTTGGGAATCATGCTGAGATGTTTAAATATGAATTATAGACAATTTCATAAGATTTCTAAATTGTCTTGTTGCATGTCTTTTGGATTAGTACAACTCCAGTTATGAGTTAAACTAGCAGATGTTGTTTGCAGCCTTGAATCTATGAATGAAGTGAATAACTTGATTGCTTTATATGAGTTGATGTGATGATTTAGATGCTTAGGCTAATTAAAATAAATTATTAGTTACATGTGTTAGACCTCTTACTGAAGATGAATAGCTTTATCTTAGGTTGTTAGAGCTTGGTGAGTATGTAGTTCTTGCTTTCATGAAGAGATATGCAACTACTCAGTAAAATAAATGTTAATATTAAATTATCATGTCATTCATGTGTCCGTATTGACATGTCTGTACATTTCATCACCACCTTCCATCTCTTTTGCATGCATGACTCTTATGCTATGCATATGCATGCAATAGGTGTTTCGGAGGGAGTCATGCTTCTAGAATTCGAGCAAGGACTTCCGGAGGAGCAGCAGCAAGCTCAGGAGCAGGAGGCGCAGGCCCCAGAAGAAGGAGCCAACGAAGAAGTCCTTGAGTGTCCCGATCACCAACCATCATCTTTTCTGAAAGGCAAGCCCCGGAGCATTCTAAGTCTCCTATGTTTTAAAAATGTTATTTTGAGTATCTTTACATATTTGATGCATTAAGTTATAGGCGTTGGATGTAAACACTTGTTGCGTATTTACCTATTCCTTGTCTAGTAAACGTACCCTGAATCCTATTTAGGTCGAGGAGCGAATCAAAGCTTAGTCATGCTTAGACCGGTAAAGTTAGGTGATTTCCTATCACCTGCAAGATAGGATGATGTCTGGTCACGGTTGGCTATATTTGCTATCATGGAAATAACCATGTGTTAATAATGAATGGAGATCGAACGGGATGTTGATAGAGAAGCAACAAGGCAAGGAGGTCTTAGGTGTGGATCTATCCCCATCTATGTCGGTTAAGGACCGATTCGCTGTACGTCCTCATGTCATGTTGAACGCATGCCTATCATTTAGTTGGCCGGATAACTCGTTCCGACCGTGAAACCGAGTAGCTCAACTCAGGTCGGAAACCGGGAAGTGAAAGGGCGCACTCTGACGGTAGTAAGGATGTGCGGGGAGCCATTGGCGTAAGTCCAAAGGAGAGATTGACCTCCTAGCAGAGTGGATTCCCTGAGAGTGCGGCGCTGCTCGGACCCGCGAATTTGTTCCTGAGTTGTACCAAAGGTGACCCGAGGCAACCACTGATCAGGTTGATTGGGTGTGTGTTAGGAATAATTCCCCAGCTGAGTAGGAATCAATTCGAGTCGCCGTTTCTCCCGGATAGTGAGAACTTGACTGAGCAGTGGCAACGTAGAGACACTTAATTGAACTTGATGGTTAAAATGATGATGATGATATTACAACATGATACCGGATATGCTTACTAATGTTTGGAGTTTAATCAATTGCTTGCTCTAGTACATGTGCTAATCTAGATGACAGGTTAATATTGATCACTTGCTGCTTAACTAATAATTTAAATCATGCGCTTGTATCATTAAAGCTTTTATGCAAAATGGTTGTCAAGCGAGATCCACTGATAAAGCCTTGCATACTCCTTGGTGTCATTTATTTTTAGTTTACGACGGATAAGTCTAGCTGAGTACATTCTCGTACTTAGGGTTTATTCCCTCTTGTTGCAGATGACGTGCTTTATAACAGCTACTGCAAGTATTGTCTCCACCCTGCTGGGGATGAAGACTAGATCATGGGCATGATCTTCTATGTTATCTTATCATGATGCTTTTGCTGGATATGACTATAGAACTGGCTTGTATTTGAACTAAGTGTGTGTGATGGTCTCAAACTACTTTGCTTCCGCTATTTGTGAACTCGTGTTGTAATAACTATGTGAACTCCGATGTATGAGGTACTTGTGAACTACTTGTGAAATGGATGTAACATGTGGTTTGTTATGTTGAATCACTATGATCTTGGTTGTATGCAAGTTGGTTTGAAATCTTTCGTGGTTTCAGTTGACTATCGGGTTTATATGGGTTCAAGTATGACGGTTTTATCACTCCGGTGATTGCTTTCGTACTTGTGCTCTTATAAATTTGTCGGTTCTGTTACGGAGGTGACCCTCGCCAATTCATTTGTCATAGTAGCCCGCAACATAGCAGATAGCTGGTATGGCAACCTTGGACAAGGCTCAATTATGTAGTGGTTTTGTTGGAACCATAAAAATTCTCAATTAATTATGTAGGGAAACATGTTTTAAGAAAAACTTATGAATATAACGATACTAATTATGTACCATAAATATTATTATTTTCTTACATATATCTGGTTAAAGTTAAAAATGTCTAACTTCTTAGAGACGCGAGAATGGCATTTTTTTAGACGGAAAGAGTATGTCTCTAAACTAGTTTATTATGAAAATATATTTTATAATTAAACTAATAATATTTATTTTGTATCATAAATGTTAGTATTTTTATATAGTTTTAGTTAAACTTGAAAGCATTTGGTTCTTTGAAAGCATTTTTTGAAGGACGACATTGACAGTTTCTGTTTCTATCGTTGTTCATCCAAGAGAAATAATACATCCATCATTTTTACTCTACAAAATTACTCGTAGCAAAACGAAGTGAAGAGATGCCAATTGCCAACTAGGACGTCTATTTCACACGCCATACTTTTGTCTTGGGCGGGTATAAATTCGAAAAACAGAATCGACTTGCACTGACACAAAGTAAAGAGAAGATAGATCGGAAACACACGTATCCTCCTCGCCAAGGCAATTTGCAGGCAACGACGAGAACATTGCTACAGCAAAACGAGCGCGCACGTGAGCATATAAACGGCCGGAGTGCGCGAACCCATCGCTCTGTAAACTGGAATGCGTCGATTGCTACAGCCAGTGGCGGATGCACGATGCGGGATAAGAGGCTAAAATAATGAAGATGTTGATTTGCATGAAGATTTAATGGTGAAATTAAGCTTTTGCTACAGTGATTAGTCTTGAAATCAAGACATTAGGGGGGCTCCAGCCCCCCCCCCAGCCCCCCTTTGGATCCGCCACCGGCTACAGCCACCGGACAGAAAACAGGTAGTGTACATAGAGAACATGGCGCGGCAGGAAAAATCGCGGCTGTGTTCGGCTGGTAAAGATGGGCTGGTTGGATCACTTTTTTTTCCAGTCCGAACAGTGTTTTTCTCTCACAAAATACCAGAGTGAACAGTAAATCCGTACCAGCATGAACAGTACTTCATCCCACACGCCCCGCAGTTCCAATTTCCAACCGTGCGACTTGGCTCGGGCCGTGTTTAGTTGCACCCTAAAATATCAAATTTTTTAAGATTACTCGTCACATCGAATCTTTGATGTATGTATGAAGCATTAAATATAAATAAAAAATAAAATTAATTACACAGTTTAGACGAAATCCATGAGACGAATCTTTTAAACCTAATTAGACTATGATTGAACACTAATTATTAAATAACAATGAAAATCGCTACCGTATCGTTTTGCAAAAAATTGACATCAAACTAGCCCTCGGTATGCCCGTGTGTGTCCCTCCCGCCCCTGGGCCGCGCCAATCACGCTGCCTTTTTGGGGGGACGCTGCGCGGCGGGTCGAGCCAGGCCGCCGGCGGCCCCACCCACGTTGCTCGCGGCCTGGAACCTTTGGACACGACACCGCGGCGGCGCTGAAACGGTGAATCAGGCAAAGTCATCGAGGGACAGAAAAGAAGAGGTAAAATGAAGGACCAGTAGTAATCAACCGATTACCGAACTGAACGTCACGGTCTGACCTCCCGGACCCACCACCCTCCGTTCCGTCTGTTGCCACAACATGGGGCGGTGTGAGTGAGTGCGACGGACGATGGGGAGTGGTGAGATTCGCAGGTCGACGCTGACCTGCGGGGTACACGCGGAGCAAAACCACGGTAACCCGACGTAGATGCTCTGCGTAATCCAGCGGCAGGGCAGCAGCAGAAGTGCATGAGAAAAAGGGACAAGTGACGCGCACTTTATCCGGTTACTCCCGTTCTCACCCGTCTCCTGCGCTGCGGTCATCGTCACGTTGGCGAGGCCACGACGTCACAGACAGGTAGGCCCCAGCGCTCCCGCCGCGGCAGACCTCGTCCACCTGTCGGTGACCGTGTCGCCAAAGCTTCCCGGTGCTCCGCTCAACCGAACGCTGCACAGCCGCGGGGGCGGGCCCACCACCCTCCCTCCTCCGCTTTCCCACCTCATCCCTTCCATTTTCAACTCTGGACCGTCCTGCCTACTGGGGCTGTGGACTCCTACTCTCCTCCCCTTCCTCCCGCGAGGCTTGCTGTGATTGATTGCTATACTACTACTACTACTAGGCACTAGCACCGCGAAGCATCATCTCGCCTCGCCGTCTCCTCCGGCCTAGCTCCACGAGCCATCCCAACCAGCGACGATCTCCCCTAGCTCCCAGCTCCAAAAGCCGGAGCCGCGGAGCGGGGGGTGAGTTAAGGGGGGCGCGATGTCGTCGCCGACGGCCGCGCCGGCGCCGACCACGCCGTCGGCCCCGCCGGCCAACGCGACAACCCCGCCTCCCCCGGCGGCGCCTACCCCTCCCACGCCCACGCCGCCCACGCCGTCCTCGCCGGCCCCTGCCGCGACGCCGCCCCCGGCGGCGCCTACCCCTCCCACACCCACGCCGTCCCCGCCGGCCCCCGCCGCGTCGCCGCCGCCGTCGTCGACCCCCTCCGTCCCGGCGCCCGCGACCCCCGCCGCGTCCCCGCCCGCGCCGTCCTCCACCCCGGCTATTCCCTCCGCGCCCTCCCCTTCCTCCCCGGGGACGACGCCCGCCACCCCGTCGCCGCCGTCGTCCGGTGGAGGGGGCAGGTCCCCGCCGTCCACGCCGTCGTCCAGCGGAGGGGGTGACCGATCCCCGCCGTCCTCCCACTCGCCGCCCAAGTCGCACTCGCCGGGGGGCGGCGGCAGCGGCGGCAGCTCCGGGCCGTCCACGTCGCTCGTCGTGGGCGTGGCCGTCGGCGGCCTCGTGCTGCTGCTGCTCGCTAGCTTCATCTGCCTTTGCTTCCTCCGTAAGAAGCGCCGCCGAGCGCAGCCACCGCCTCAGCACTACGGATACCCGCCGCCTCCGCCCCCGTACAAGGGTGAGTTAGATCTCTCTTACAACTCCCGTGCCTGCCTGTCTGTCGCTGTCTAGATCCAGATCTAGCCTGTGGGTGGCGTGACTAGGTACTAGTCACGTTGCTTTCGGTTTCAATTCTTGTCTTCCTGCCAATTCGGCTGGCGGTGGATCTTAGGTCGCGCTATTAACATGGGTGTTAGGTGTGAGTTCCTGATTCTTCGGCGTAGGTCTTGTTGACATGTGCATAGTGGTTAAAAAGTGTTAATTTCAGTAAATTATACTAGATGCTATTTTCAATTTCAAGGAATTTGGACCTACAAGTTTTGTACTGATTAATTAATCCTTAACAATCGTGATGGTTAGGTCTTTACTTTTGATAAGGTGTACTTCTCTTATGTTCAAAAATACATTACCTGGTACTCTTGATAGGTGTCATGCCTGCTGTTTAAATCAAATGCTGTATTATATATGGTTTTAGCTATTGTCTGTCTGTTTTGTTTGGAAGAGAAACTAACTTGTATATCTTTTCATATAAATTCTGTTTCAAGCATACTTATGTTGCTTTCTGTAAGCAGTTACAAAACAAAGACAAACCTTTCCTCACATGATGTTCTATCTTTACCACAGAGGATCCATATGGTGGAACATACCAGAGTTGGCAGCAAAATGCGCCTCCTCCTCCACCCCCTGAACATGTGGTCAAGATGCACCCATCGCCTCCGCCAGCATATGCCAATCGTCCTCCACAGCCGCCGCCACCGCCACCACCAGCGATGCTAAATAGTAGTGGTGGATCTGGTTCTAACTACTCTGGTGGCGAGATCCTACCTCCACCATCCCCTGGTGCTGCTCTCGGCTTCTCCTCGAAGAGCACATTCACATACGAAGAATTGTTGAGGGCAACTGATGGATTCTCTGATTCTAATCTCCTTGGACAAGGTGGTTTTGGGTATGTTCACAGAGGATTGCTGCCTAATGGAAAAGAGATTGCTGTAAAACAATTGAAACTTGGAAGTGGCCAGGGAGAGCGTGAGTTCCAGGCTGAGGTTGAGATTATCAGCCGAGTACATCACAAACATCTTGTGTCTTTGGTTGGCTATTGCATTTCTGGAGGCAAGAGGTTGCTTGTCTATGAGTTTGTCCCCAACAACACATTGGAATTCCACTTACACGGTATGTCCCCCTACCCCCAAACCCCCCCAAATTTTTTCTCTTCATTATCTGTGATTCTGCAATCCACATGTTTGATTTTTCTACTTAGTTTCCCTTTGAGACCATGTCGCCATGTTTGATTAGCACATCTAGACTGCATTAAAATTGGAGGCAATAGCTGTTCACTATCCACTAGAACCTGAATAGCTTAGCTGTTCAACTGAACTTTCTGATTCTTCCATTTTTCCCATTCAAGTAATATGCTATCTATGTGTGCTATTCAAGATTGCAATAACAAATTTGCATATGAGAATAATTAAGTAAACTTGGCCTCTTAATGAGTAGGATTGTTTGGTTGGAGGAAATTTTGTAGCATGTGAAACTTGAGCTAGATAGAAGGCAACCCCTGCCTTCTCTTCAGCATGAAAAAAATGGCTTGTTAGCCATTCCTTAGAGTTAAGTCCTTAGCCACTTGCTGGCCTTATCGTCTGAAAAAAGAAATGGTACTCGACCGCTGGTCCCTTGGGCAAAATTTTCTTTGCTCTTTTCTCGTTTCAACTGGCAATCCACAACCAAGTGCCTTGCTTGCACAAACAAAAGTCCCTTCTACTGTAGGGCAACCCATGGATTTATTGCTTGTCCTGAAATTTGATTGAGGCGTTCATGATATCAGTCGATTGCTAATTCCATTTGTTTCATGTTCTCTTGCGCATTGTTATGACATATTTGCACCTTCTGCAGCGAAAGATCGACCAACAATGGAGTGGCCCACTAGATTAAAGATCGCTCTGGGTGCTGCCAAGGGTTTAGCATATCTTCATGAAGACTGTGAGTTTACATACATAACGACAATCAATATTTTATTACAACCATATCTCATAGTTGAAATATAGAAGGACCTTATATAACGTCTTTCTTATGAGCAGGCCATCCAAAGATCATCCACCGTGACATAAAGGCATCTAACATTCTTCTTGACTTCAAATTTGAAGCTATGGTATGCTCTGAGTTTTCCTTTTCTATTCTAGAGTTTACAGCTGACTGTTTCTGTTAAAACTGAAAATGTATTTCTTACGCAGTGCTTATTTTACATTTACCACATTGATGAAGTTATATTATGTTAGGACATTTTGGCAGTCCACAAATTATATCTGGTTTGAATGCTGTTGTAATGTGGTCTCTGCTATCTAATCTATTTTGGTAGCCGTAAAGTTTTGCTTGCTTGGAATTTGGTTACATTAGTGGAATTTTGTCTATAATCACATTCACATCAATGAGAAATTATACAGCCTTCCTGCTTAAATGTACAGACCACTCTTTAATTTTTTGAACTTTATTTTAACTAACAAGTGTCTCTCTACAGGTTGCTGACTTTGGACTTGCAAAGTTCACTACTGATAACAACACCCATGTTTCGACAAGAGTAATGGGCACCTTCGGGTATGTATAAATGCTACCTTATAATTCAAGTATGATGTTAGACATTATAGACATGCTACATACCTATTTGGCTGAAATTTTAAGCATGTGGATGCCATTACCTAATACTGATGCAATTCAGACTAGATCGGAATATGGTTAGTTTTCTTAATGATACAATACCCTATAGATTTTTGTAATCTTGGCATTTGCATCATATTCTCAGCTATGAAGAGAGTTATTCCAACATTCAACTTGCTATGCTAGTAATAATTATGGCTTGCTAATACACATCTTCCTGGCTTTAGGTATTTGGCACCTGAGTATGCATCTTCTGGCAAGCTCACAGAAAAATCTGATGTATTTTCTTTCGGAGTCATGCTTCTTGAGCTTATTACTGGGCGGCGACCAGTTGACACAACCCAAACATATATGGATGACAGCTTGGTTGACTGGGTAATTGTTTGAACATCTTTTCTTGCTTTGATATTTTCATAATGCTTCCTAACTGTTCATCTTTAGCATTGATCTTTGCCAATGATTTATCGATATGAAATTTAGGTACTACTGCTATAAGCACATATGTACTTCCATTTGCATGCTCTATAATACCAATACTAATTGCAAAATTGTCGTTATTTTTTTCTACCCTTTTTTAGTTAATAAGCATATTTCTGGCCACTTGTATTCTTGTTAATAAATGTTATGGACTTATATTCTTATATTACCTTGAGAAAGTATCTGTCTCTACCCGCCATATGAACGTGCTTAACCTGGAAAGTCTTATCCTTTGTTGTTTTTCATACTGTTGTAACCTTCCTGTGAGTAACATCACTGTATCATCTGCAGGCAAGGCCATTACTGATGAGAGCACTTGAGGATGGTGAATATGATGCTTTGGTGGATCCTCGGCTGGGAAAGGACTTCAATCCTAATGAGATGGCAAGAATGATAGCCTGTGCGGCTGCATGTGTACGCCATTCTGCACGTCGTCGGCCGCGTATGAGTCAGGTAATTTATAAGCAGCTTTTGTTGCCTTGCAAACATGCCTAAACTGCAGTAACATCCCATAGGGTACTATTAAGTGCTATTTTTCTGAATCTGTTGTATACATCACATGATTTCTATACCACAAGAAGTATTGAGCTGACGAAATGGTAACCTTCTGACTTCTGAGTTGAAACTTTGGTCACTTTAGTTTCAATGCTGTAAACATGCCACATTGGGATCCATAAAACTGCATTACACAACACGCTCAGATTTTCATGTCTTCACTTGGTGGATTAATAGCTTCGCACCTGATTGTTCAGGTCGTTCGGGCTTTGGAAGGCGATGTGTCTTTGGAGGACCTTAATGAAGGTGTTCGGCCTGGTCATAGCCGCTTCTTTGGGTCATACAGCAGCTCTGATTACGATTCTGGCCAGTACAACGAGGACATGCAGAAGTTTAGGAAGATGGCATTTAACAACAACAACTACACCAGCAGCCAATACAGCGCGCCAACCAGCGAATACGGCCAGATACCGTCTGCGTCAAGCAGCGAGGGCCACCAGACGCAGGAGATGGAGTCGGGTGCCATGAAGAAAGGTGGCTACAGCGGCTACAGCTCAGGATACAGCGGAGCCTCGTGAGGGAATTCCCTTTCTCCTTTTTCTCTTTTTATTTTGATGTTTGCATTGCTGCATTTGTAAAGTCTGGCCGAATTATATGACCAAAGTTGCTGACTTGCGCGTGATGTATCTAAGTTTGACCGAGTATAGTTTTATGTAGCTGCAATCGTTTATTCTTTCATGAAAATTGTTGACCAATGTTTGCTGTGCAATTCAAAGAGAGCTAATTGACTGTTGATATACTGTCCATGACTCGCTCAATTCTTCTTTCTCGATATGTCATGTCATCTGAAGAACCTTGCTAGATTTTCTTTCCGGCTACTTCATTCCAGTACATGTATCATGTATACTGTCACGGGACAATGGGTGTAAATCTGTAATTCTTTTACTGCAAGTTTAAGTTTCTGTGATTCGCTGGAACCAGTTTGTTGCGTTGTTAGGCGAGTTGCGTCGCGGCGGACGGCAGAGGTGTGGCATGCTGAGTTGCGGGTCTTTGGAATCACGGCACATGCGACAGCTCACGCGATGTGGAATGGGCGCCTGCTTGTCTCTTTTGTTCCTTTCCATGCTTTTGCCGGTGGCGTTCGACGCGTGACCCTGGACCAAACCTCGGGCAAGAATGCAAGATTTCCCTTGTTGGTCTAGGCTGCACCTGCCGTTGCTTATCTGACATTCTGGCTAGCATGCATCATGTCTTCCTGTCCTGGAACCATACGTGGTTCTGTTCGTTTCGCTGAAATTTGGTTGATGCCGCTGCTTATGCTGATTTGTTGTAAGAGGAAAATACTGTTTCTTCACTGAAAAGTACTGCTGAAGTAGTGCTACTATTTCTTAATTCGTGTGTTTGATCGTGTAATGTTACTGTGTTCGAAACGGAACGAGGGACATGACATGAGGTAGAGGCACCACTTCGTCTGTTGCTGTTTTGATGGGCTGTCCATTCTGGCATGGCCCAAGGGCCAAGGCTCATAATGATTGGTGTCTTTTGTCCGTTCTGATCTGGCAAATGGAACTATTGGTCTGTGTGTTACCTCCCTTCGAAAACTTTTATCTTGCCATCTTGGCGTCTCAAATAAGAGTAATATACTAACAGTGCCTGAATTGTAGACTCGCATAGTCGCAAAAAAAGAAAATCATGTTTTGACGTTGGATCATGCGGATTCCTGTGAAACATACGCATAATACAAGCTATTGTGGTTCGTGTGCGTTTTACCGTTTATGCATAGCTCTAAACTAATTGAACAGATGAGGATCCAAATTGAATTTAAATTCAAATGCTAGGGGACATTAGATAAAAAATTACCAAATGGTTCATTGTTCACCTTAATATTACTAGTTAGAAGCTTCTAGCGCAGACTTCATGTTAGTCATCACGAACACGCTAGAAAAAAGATCAATTCTAAAAATTATCATAATATTACAAAAATCTCATCTTTAGACTCTAATCATCATCATCATCTATTTTATTTTTCCATAAAATAACTCACCTCACATTATGAAAAATATATAAAGTAGCCCACTTTGAATCTGAATTACCCACCTCAACCAGTATAAGATAATTTGAAATAACCTCTAAAGTTGTACTAAATAACCCACCTTTGCCAATGTGAGGAGTCCTATTCATAGTTTGGAGGTGCCTTGAGAGAGTGGAGGTTCTCCTCTTGATTCTAGATCTAGATAATATTTCCTTTTGGCGGGCCATCCAATCTAAGTGAAACTCATCTGAACCCTTGAACCAAAATGACTTGATGGAGCACCAACCTATATTGCTTCCTTAGGTTAGTAGGTAGCTCAGCCTTTTTGGCAAAAAAAAAAAAAAAGATCGGCCGACCTGGCACCGTCACTACCTGTTCAATCCACCGCCATCGTAAAGTAGACGTCCAAGATGTTCTCCTCTAGGTTGGTGGGTACAAAGTCAACTTTTACCTATGTTGAATGGGTCTATGGATCCATGTTCCATCCATTCTATCCCTCGATTGAACCGACCGCAACTCAATGTGTAGGAACAATCCATAGCGTGTCCCTGCATGTGTACGAAAGTGTAGCCCATTTGGGACAAATGACAAGTCAGTTGACCTTGGGCATGGTCGACCGACCTCCCCTTTGCTCCATTTGCATGCCCCTGAGTTCCCTTAGGTCTTGTGATGACTAAGGAGCCTCTGGACCATGTTTGGGAGGCATTGGGTTCAAGTTTGGGTCGGTAGACCTCTTTGTCTCTCTCATTTTACCCTCATAATTCTTTAGAAGGCGTAATTTTTTCGTTCGGATTCTATTTCGTTCATCTCGACGAACTCTTCGACTTAGTTGAGTACAATTTAGCACTTGGTTTTTTTTTTGTAGTGATGACCATTTGGATGACATCTCAAGCCAATCTTTGCATATACTCCCTTAATGCCTTTTCATGTATATTTCGAGCATAGCCTGCAAAACACATAGAACCATCAAAACTCGTGGAATAAATGATTATTATCTATGAAGGTAATATAACTTGTGTTATGTAAGTGGAGACAAGTTAATTAGATATAATATTTGATAATTTTGCATTAAAACTTTTCTGTTCCTATGAGGAAATGAACAATTGCAAACCAAGTTGTGATAATCTTGCTGAGAATTCACAATATCTACCATATTCTACATTTCATAAATATGTTGAAGGGATTGGTATAATACGTGACTTAGAGATCAGGGAGAAGTCTATTTGATTGATAACTTGTTCAAACATCATATTGTACTTATTCCTTTGTATAACGTTTTCCTTTCAAGATTTCTCATATGAAGTTTTTACTGAGGCAATATCAACATAAGGTTATTATCATATCATCTGTTTCCCTGTAGGATTAGTAATGATATATATATATATATATATTAGTCATATTGCCAAAGTTACTGTTCTTTAGACTACGGCTTTGAGTTTATCTAATGAGGGTCTAAATTGAAATAATTGTGATGATATATCAAGATATTTCTCTTTATTTTTATATGTTTTTTAGGAATAATCAGCAGATTGAGGATAGGGGTTGTAAATATTTTGGTTAATAATTAATTTTGGTTAAATGATAATATATTTTGGTTCAGCTTAGCTTTAAGCAAAACGAACATGGCCATGATCGGTGGACACACCGTGACAACACTCGTCACTGTGACGGCGGCGGCACCAGCCGCCTGCAGCCTGTTCGGGAGGCCGTATCGTATCGTGGATTATTTACTGCTGGCTGGTTTGGTGTAAAAGAAAAATACTGTTCCCGACTAGAAATTTACGATCGTTACGACCAAGCGAACAGGCTGGTGGACGCGTCGTGATTCGTTTACTTGACCATGGTTGGCTCAATAATGTGAACGCCGATGGAAGCTTCCTGGGAAAGTGCGGTGCCTTTCCGCCGGAGCTCGTAGCCCGCGGCAGCAGTCGGCTTCGTCTAGCACATGGTTTTTATGGCAATACAGCCTTGCAGTATTTTATAGAGAGAGCACGTCGTTGTGCAGTGTACCCACACACAAGTGGGGGGCCAAGTTGCTACCTGCACTTGCTGTCCAAAATCGTTACAGATCACACATTCACACAACGGACCGAGTTTGACTCGCCGCGTGCCTGGTTGCAGACTTGCGGTGTCTTCCTTCGTCCGTTGCAGTCCAGAAATGGAGTTCTAGGCCTGCCGACAGCGTCCTCTCTTCAACCCCATTCCTATATAGAATCTCCTCCTCCCTTCTCCGAACAGCGGAGCAGACGTGCATGCGTCCATCCATCTATACACTGTCACTCATACTTCCAAGTTCTAATCTTGTTTATCCATGAATCCCCTGCTGCATATATTGCTCACCCTTCTTCTCTTCACTTCCCTTGACACTTCACCATGGTCCGCTTCCGCCGCCGCAGCGACTGATACTCTAACAGCAGGCCAAGCACTTGCGTTCGGCGACAAGCTCGTCTCGAGGAACGGCAAGTTCGCGCTCGGCTTCTTCCAGCCAACAGCCGTCATCAGTAAGTCCCGCAACATCACCTCCCCCAACTGGTACCTTGGAATATGGTTCAACAAGATCCCAGTTTTCACTACAGTTTGGGTCGCCAACAGAGAGGCTCCAATCGCTGATTCCAAGCGCAAGCAAACACACCTCAAAATCTCAAGCGATGGCAACAACCTTATTATTGTAACCCAAGCCAGTCCTGAAACTGAAACCACAGTCTGGTCCACTCCCAGTGCCAATCGGTCAGGAGCCAGCTCAAACACTACCACTACTGCCGTTCTCTTGGACAGTGGTAACCTTGCACTCCTAGAATTAGAAAGCCCATCATCATCCAATGTAACCTTGTGGCAGAGCTTCGACTACCCAACCGACATCGTGCTTCCGGGCGCCAAGTTTGGCCGGAACAAGGTCACCGGTTTCAGTCGTCGGGCCATCACATGGAAGAGCCTCATTGATCCAGGCCTCGGCTCATACTCCATCGAGATCGACACCACCGGGGTGGTCCTCAAGCACCGCAGTCCGTCAGTAGTGTACTGGCATTGGTCTTCCTCATCCACATCAACACTGAAGCTCATCCCCATACTCAAGTCCATACTAGAACTGGATCCACGGACCAAAGGCTTGATTGACCCCACATATGTTGATAACAGTCAGGAGGAGTACTACATGTACACTTCACTGAATGACTCATCTTTGACGTTCGTCTCGCTGGACATCTCTGGCCAGATCAAGATGAATGTTTGGTCACACGCTCAGCAGTCTTGGCAAGCCATATATGCCCAGCCGGTTGATCCCTGCACACCGTATGCTACCTGTGGCCCCTTCACCACTTGCAACGGCACTTCCTCCCTTTCCTTCTGCGACTGCATGCCGAGCTTCTCTCAGAAGTCACCCCAGGACTGGGAGCTTGATGATCGAACAGGAGGCTGCATCAGAAATACTCCATTACACTGCACCAGTGAGAAAAATATGACAAGTTCAACAGACATTTTCCGCCCCATTCCTCATGTTACATTGCCCTATAACTCCCAAAGCATAGACGGTGTCAACTCTCAGAGCAATTGTGAGGAAGCTTGTCTCAGTTCCTGCTCCTGCACTGCTTATTCCTATAACAGTAGCAGGTGCTCTGTATGGCATGGGGAATTGTTCAGTGTGAATCATAATGACGGCATTGACAATAATTCTGAAGATGTTCTTTATCTTCGTCTTGCTGCTGATGATCTGCCAAGTTTGACAAGAAGCAAAAGAAAACCAAGTGTCGGAGTTGTTACCGCAGCAAGCATTATTGGTACTGGGTTACTGATGCTCATGTTGCTGTTAATGATGTGGCGAAAAAAATTCAAATGGTGTGGTACACCATTGTATGACACCCAAGGTGGTGGAGTTATAGCCTTTAGATACACTGATTTAAGCCATGCTACTAAAAATTTCTCAGAAAAGCTTGGAGCAGGTGGTTTCGGTTGCGTATTTAAGGGAGTGCTGAGTGGCTCAACAACTATAGCAGTGAAAAGGCTTGATGGTGCCCGTCAGGGAGAGAAGCAATTCAGGGCTGAGGTGAGCTCACTTGGATTGATCCAACATATCAGCCTAGTCAGATTGATTGGCTTCTGTTGCGAAGGTGATAAGAGGCTACTTGTGTATGAACACATGTCAAATGGGTCTCTTGATTCTCATCTATTTCAGAGCAATGCTGCTGCCCTTAACTGGAACACCAGGTATCAAATAGCCATAGGAGTTGCTAGAGGATTGTCCTACTTGCATCAGAGTTGCCAAGAATGCATCATACACTGTGATATTAAGCCAGAAAATATACTTCTCGACACGTCATTTGTTCCTAAAATCGCAGACTTTGGGATGGCAGCATTTGTCGGAAGGGATTTTAGCAGAGTTTTGACTACATTCAGAGGAACTGCAGGGTATCTTGCCCCAGAGTGGCTTGGTGGAGTTGCTATTACATCAAAAGTTGATGTTTATAGCTTCGGTTTGGTGCTGCTGGAAATCATATCAGGTAGGAGAAATTCACCTGAGGCATATAGTAGCAACAATTATCATATTGAATATTTCCCTGTGCGAGCTGTCAACAAGCTTCACGAGGGAGATGTGAGGAGTTTGGTGGATCCACAGCTACATGACGACTTCAATTTGGAAGAGGTTGAGAGGGTTTGCAAAGTTGCATGTTGGTGCATCCAGGATAATGAGCTTCATCGGCCGACAATGGGTGAAGTGGTCCGTGTTCTTGAGGGTCAGCAGGAGATTGATATGCCCCAGATGCCAAGGTTGCTTGCAGCAATCACACAAGGCACTGGAGCTATCACAGAAAGCTCTAATGCATCTTCAATGTGATAATTCATAATACTTTGTAGTTAAGGCTACTAATCTTTGTTTCAGACAATTTTAATGCTCAATTTGGAGCTGAAGTAATAGAGGAAGGCATACCTGAAATTTCTAAATTTGCATGGACGCTTGTTGTCCCCTTTTCTCTCATTTTGCATGATTTAGTGGCCGTTTATGGTAATCAAGCATTGTACTCGACAAACCTTTTCAACAGGAGTAGCAAAATTTGGCAGAACTAGATAGGTGTTTATGCTTTGTTTATGATTGGGATAGGACATAAAGGGCGTACCCAGTGCAGAGAGCTCCCGCTCTGTGCGGGGTCTGGGGAAGGGTGTCAGTGGCAAGCCTTACCCTCGCCTGTGCAATGCGAGGAGACCGCGACTTGAACCCGGGACCTTCCGGTCACAGGCGGTAAGACTCTACCGCTTGCACCAGGCCTGCCCTTCAATTGGGATAGGACATATATTCTTAATTTGAAGGAAGAAGTAGATATATTCCAATACTTAGTACTTATTTCTTGCTTTAGAGATATGCTGCTTCTAAGGTGCTTATTATTGAAATAAGCCACCACTAAGTTGGACCGTCCAATAGTAGGATGCTTTATGAAGGATAACATATCTTTTTGCCATAAAGGGACACTTTATCTGGCCCATATTTCAATTAGACCAATGCCTACCGAAGACATGACTCACCAATCGAGGGAACAAAAAACTAAAATTGCACTTTGATCAGGTATGATTGACACTTTCAAGCAACTATAATCTTGTTACTAGCTAAACAGGAAATAAATAAATACAAACGATAACTGTGACTAAACAAGAACAGTTATTAACAAAAACGACAAATAAAATGCACCACTCGGTTGACATGTTGCAGTAACTACTGGTTACAAATTAGAATCCTGTTCACCAACTGAGGGATGAACAATCAAGAATTCAGAAATCATCTAGTACAGAATAAGCAAAGATTCACAGCCACAAATAACAGATATCTACATAAACAGCAAAAGAGAAATACTGGAGTAATTACTAATTAGAAGAGGGATTGGAAGACAACAGATTAAACAAATTGAGAAGCAGTAGCCCAGTGTAGGAACAAGAGCAGAGATAGAAGCTGGGGAATGTTAGACCCATCTCTTCACTGTGCTTATAAGTAATAGACAGTCTTTTGATTCTCCAAAAGTAAAAAATCTGGGAATGGTACCTCTGCCTAACAGGAATAAAACTATCACAGGCTAGCAAATTTTAAAATGCAATAGTCACTAGCCATAAATAGATTTACTGAAGGCAGATATCCTGAAACTAAAATAAAGTAGGTACTAGGTAGCAAGGACAAGTTGCAACAATTCTCAGTTAACAACTCCTATGCACCAACAGTTCTGAATGCAGTATAGGAGCATAAGCACTGCTTCACAATTACAAATTAAATAGTAAAACATATCAGAATTTAACAATAAAACAGAAATAATAGAGGGAAGAGATCTAACAGAATGAAGAAGTAAAGATGCAATGTATCTTTAAGGAAAGTGGAGCAGAGATAGAAGCCGAGGAAGACAAGTCGCTGTCGCTGTCAGTGGCATTGAAGCCGGTAAACGAACAGGGGCCAGGGGGGGCCGCGGCGTGCTGGGGGACATAGATGAGGGCGATGGCTGCTGGCAACTGAGGTAAGGCAGAAGCGCGGATTAGTGGAAGGGGAGAGCAGAAGACTAGGCAGAGATTGGGTTGGGGGCTGGAGGCGCTGCTGATTTGGGCTAACCTCCTGGACGGCCGGAGGTGGAGAGAGGCAGATGTAGATTGAAGATTGGCCAGAAAGTAGTGTATGCCTAACAGCGTCTCTAGCAGTTTGATACAGTGATTTGCTAAATTAATAGATCTAGCAAGTTAATATAACGAATATCAATTTTAAGTTGCCTTTCTCCAATATTCTCCTATGGCAACTTTCTAAACAATTTTGTATTGATAACCATGAACTATTTCTAGCTAACAAAACATTTTAATGGTTTTTTTAATCTCTTATCGCTTTCTCATTTGGATTCCTTTATTTCTTAATTTATGTATGCGTCTAATTTATTCTGATCTCCGAAAAAACATTGGACGGGAAGTGGATACAAAGTTCCTTTCGACCGTTGAAACTGTTTGAGAAGATATTTGACAAATTTTTATTTTTAAAGATCTCTTTTACTAAACTGTTGGAGGATATTTTTTTCTTTTTCTAAAAATATTAAAATAGGGAGTTGTTTTACAAAATTCCTAAAGATGCTCTAAGTGCATCTCCAGGAGTTATGCAAAACAACTCCCAATTTTGATTTTTTAGCCAAATTTTTTTTTCCTCCAATAGAGTTGTAAAAGAGCTAGAATTGAGAGGAACTCCGATATCTGCTCCTCATGCGACATTTTTCTCGAAAGATCAGAATAAATTGGACGCATGTCTAAATTAAGAAAATAAAGGGTTCTAGATGAGAAAATGGTAAGAAACAAAGAAACTATTAATGAAGAATTGGTTGATTAGAAATAGTTCATGATTCCTAATGCAAAATCTTTTAGGAAGCAAATATAAGAAACTATTGGAAAGAGAAATAAATTAAGGTTGCTAATTATTTTCTTAACTTGATAAACATATTGATTTATCAAGTTAATTATAGAAAACATCTAAAGTTGCTCTAAGGATGCAATGCAAGCCGATAGCCGATGGTATTTTTGGATCAGCTAACTAATTAGAGTCAAGCATTTTAGTTTATTTTTCACTCATTTAAATTACATGAAATACTATTCTAAATTATTTGAGTACATTTTTGGGTAGATCCAATAACATAAAGTAATTAAAACTTGCATCACTCTAGGACGAATTATAAAAGTGTTTTCAGTTTCACATTTTCTCTCTCAAGAATAATATATCGCTTGAATATGGTATTACCATAAACTAATACGGCATCAGTGTTATTATCACAGAAAAAGTGATGACAAGAATATCCAATCTCTGTCAATCAACCCTAACTATGTAAGGCCTATGTTATTACAATAAGAAAATCTCTAAAAGTATATATTGATTTTTCTCACACTGTATACTCCTTTGTGTATTATATTGGATAAGTTCTGCATAGTACAATTGAGTACTCACCCTGGGATTATTTGAGTTTTGCAGGTAGTGACCCATTCAAAAGAGAATTAAACCCTTTCAAAAAGTTTTTCAGGTAGTGTTGCATCAGCCTATGGTTTCTTTTATGCTCCCAAGTCCTCCGAGGACCAAGAGTGGTGAAGAGACCAATGCCTCGTAGATGTGTGAACGTGGCACCTCCATGCATTGTTTATCTTTCCAAAACTATGTTAATGAAAGACTTCCGCCTAGGTATTCTGATGTTGTTAGTTGCTTGACTGAACTTTATGTGTTATGACCTAAGTTTGAGAACAATGTTATAAACCTAAGTACTTGGTATTGTAATATGACCTAGCTGTAGGGGCGGAAACAAGGGGGGCGGGCAGGGGCCCAGGCCCCCATGAACGTGAATTTTCTACTATTTTTTTAAAAATTCAAATAAATTTGAAAATTCAACACTGTTGCCCCCCTAGCATTCAAAAAATCAACTTCCTTGCTCCGCTAGAGCCTAGTTGTGATGTGTGATGTATTCCTTTCCCTCACGTGAACCTGGATGAAGGTCGGACATGGTACATCTTATGAGAGGTGTGCCGGGATGACCAATTAAATGGGCTATCTAACTTCGTAGTCAATGAAAGACTATTATGCTATTAAGTACTAATTTAAAAGGGAGATGATCTTGACACCACCTACAACCTTATACTTGCTCAAAAGGACAAAACGTATGAGATGCATAATGAGCCACGTGGAGGGTGATTAATGGAGGAATCCAATAGGCAGCGTTGCTTGCCCGTCGCCTCTATAAATAGAAGATCAGCGTATCTCCTCTCACTACTGGATTTAGGTTCTTTGCCGAGTGCCTGATGCAAAGGCCCAAATGCACTCGCCAAAGAACACACGGCAAAAAATTGATCGGCAAAGATCTCTTTGCCGAGTGCCTTTTATCGGGCACTCGGCAAAGAAAAGCGACCGCCACGGCGTTGAATCCGTTGACGGTGGCTTTGCCGAGTGTCAACCCTGCAGACACTCGGCAAAGATTTTTTATTTTTTATTTTAAAAATTTCTTTGCCGAGTGCCCTCTGACCGGCACTCGGCAAAGTTTGAATTTTTTTTAAAAAAAAATTCTTTGCCGAGTGCCCTCTGGCCGCCACTCAGCAAAGTTTGAATTTTTTTGCCGAGTGCCCTCTGGCCGGCACTCGGCAAAGTTTGATTTTTTTTAATTCTTTGCCGAGTGCCATGGTCATGGCACTCGGCAAAGCTAGAAAAATGGTTTTTCGAGCGCCCATTTTCCAGCTTTGCCAAGTGCTGTGACCATGGCACTCGGCAACGGGGTCCTTTGCCGAGTGCAACATTCGGCAAAGTGACCGAAAACGACAATTTTTATTTTTTTTACATTCCATCACGACAAATAAATTCATACAGTCATATATCTCATCCATCACATATATATCTCATCCATCACATATATATCTCATCCATCCACACATCCATCCGCACATATCACATCCATCATAATATATATCACATATATAATAATAAGTGCTCAAGTCCATCCAAATAAATCCACAAGTCCATCAAAGTCCACAAGTGCATCACAAGTATATCACAAGTCCATCATCAAGTGAACAACAAATGCAAAAAATACAACGTGCACTCATCTTGGCCAATGCGACTGTGGTGAAGGCCCAGTTCCATCATTCGGAGGTGCATAAGGTGGATTATTCAAACCACCGTCAGATGGAGACTGCACAAAGGAGAAAAGATTGCATGTGAGACAAGATTATTTGGATAGCTAATCTAGGAAGGTAGACGCCATACAAGCAAAGCACAAGGGAAAGTAAAAAACTTTCATACTCATAGGAGTAGCTGGAGCTGGAGGACGCGGAGGCAGAGGTGGAACCTGAAAGGTCCTTGTT